GCCCTCCACGCCCCGTGCGAGGTGCCTCAGTCCTGCGGGCGGCCTGCGCCGTCCTGCCGGGCAGGTGCCGGCCCTCAGCCTGAGGGTCGGTTCTCGGCGTGAAAAGGCAAGGCCGTCACGACCGACCTGTCCGCTTTCACCTCCCAGCCGGGACTTCCTAACCGCGGTGATATTTTGAGGGCGTCAGGGGTCTGGGCTGGATAAGTGCTGCGGAGGCCGAGACGTCCTCCTGCAAAACCCGACGTCGGCTTCGCATCCCTGCGGCGGCTGGAGCTCGGGGGTAGGCGGCCGTCGTGGACAGCAGAAAAGGGCGGCTTTTGCTACTGTGGTTTTAAGTGTCCCCTGGGCACGAGGCCACCCCAGCATATGTTAATCTCATCAATTGAGCTGCTCTGGAAGTAGACCAGAAGGAAAAGGTAATTAAGATCTTGACTCCAGAAACAAAAGCCTTTATTTTAGTAGTTCATGGTGCTGACTGAGGGAAACGGTGTACGCTTTTACTTGCTTTACAGCTGTATGGCATGGAAGTAGATTTAGGTCCGCAGAAGTCACAGGGAAATCCCTGAGGCTTCTGGAACGTACAAAAGCTGTGTAGTGCACACGGTCAGTTACAGGATTAGGCCACAATAATAATTACGGGGTTTAGTAATGAAAAAAAGGTTCACAAGGATGGGAAAGCAAAATCAGAGTTCCTAAAATTAAGTTACTGTTCTGTTGGAAGTACAACTACTGAAGAAAAATGTACTTTTAATGTAAAAATTGCTCTTATTTTCTTGCTAAAATAATTCTTATAGGGTATTTGTGTCTGACCATAGTATTGAGAAACCTCTTATTTAAAAACATATTTATCTTCACCAAGAGAACAAAATTGTCATTATCCTGGCTTTCCTAAGTGATAGGTTGCAGCAGAGAAGCACTAAATGGTTTCCCCAAGATCAGAGTGGAATTCTCATCACTCCTATGTGTGCTCCAAAAGCTGGTCCGAAGCCATCATTTTAGATGGAATATTTACAGTTAGTCTGTGGGCAGTTACCATTTAGAGGGGCAAAAGCAAGGACTGACAGACAAGGATCACATTCTTTTGTTAATTGCCACTACTGTAGATGATCTGGTTTGCAAAGGCAGTAGCCACAGCTGATACATATACATTTCTAATAAAGACTAGACCAAAATCAGGACTGGGTACCCTACATTTGTGATCAAAGACATTGACATTCCTGTCCCACCACCCTGTGTCAACATGAGTACTTCCACAGCTGTAAGCTAGATCGGGAAATCCAATAATGTTATTGTCTTTGAGTTAGTAAAAGGTCTTGCAGATCAGTGAGTTGAACCAGGTTCAGCAAGTACCAGATTGTTTTGGGTGGGAGTGTTGATCTGCTCCAGGGGAGGGAGGCTCTACAGGGAGATCTGGACAGGCTGGAGCAATGGGCTAAGGCCAGCTGTAGGAGTTTCAATAAGGGCAAATGCCAGGGGCTGCACTTGGGCCACAACAACCCCCAGCAGCACTACAGGCTTGGGGAGGAGTGGCTGGAGAGCTGCCAGTCAGAGAGGGACCTGGGGGTGTGTGTGTGTGTGTGAGATTGACAGCCAGCTGAACAGGAGCCAGCAGTGTGCCAAGGCCAATGGCATCCTGGCTTGTGTCAGCAATAGTGTGGCCAGCAGGGACAGGGAAGGGATCTGACCCCTGTACTCGGCACTGGTGAGGCCACACCTCGATTCCTGTGTTCAGTTTTGGGCCCCTCACTCCAAAAAGGACATTGAATAACTCGAGCGTGTCCAGAGAAGGGCAACGAAGCTGGTGCAGGGTCTGGAGCACAGGTCGTACGGGGAGCGGCTGAGGGAACTGGGGGTGTTTAGTCTGGAGAAGAGGAGGCTGAGGGGAGAACTCATCACCCTCTACAGCTCCCTGAAAAGAGGTTGCAGAGAGCTGAGGATGAGTCTCTTTAACCAAGTAGTAAGCAGTAGGACAAGAAGTAATGGCCTGAAATTGTGCCAGGAAAGGTTTAGACTAGATGTTAGGAAGCATTTCTTTACAGAAGGGGTGTTAGAATGGGCTGCCCAGGGCAGTGGTGGAGACCCCATCCCTGGAGGTGTTTAAGAGTTGGGTTGACATAGCGCTGAGTGATATGGTGTAGTTGGGAACTGTCAGTGTTAGGTTAATGGTTGGACTGGATGATCTTCAAAGTCATTTCCAACCTGGATGATTCTGTGATTCTTGATAATTATGAAGGAGGGGACTAAGCAAGGAGCAGGAGGTCAGAGAAGCAAGAGCAACTTCTTTCATGTTAGCTTTTAAATCAGTTCTGCTACTCACAGCACTGCTTCTTTAGAGTCTTCAATACTTTTGAGCTTACTAGGGTCAGAATTTGAGCATTCTTAACCTACTGCATTTTTTTCTAGGCTCCTATATATTTTGGCTTAATTTTTAATAATAAAACTTCTAGAGATACACATTTGTAGATGAGCCCTGAATTGCTGTAGGACACTTCTCTATTTCAGGCCTGAAATACCCTCTTGAGACATGTTTTGTAGTGTTGCAGAAACTGTCTAGTGGATAAAGTGGATTCACAGGTTATTCCTGTCAAAATATCCCCAATAGTAGGCAGGTTTTATTGCTTTATGATGAATACCTGTATTCCTGAGGTTATAGAAGAGTCAGTTTTGTCAGAAATTCAACACAGTGTTGGAAAATTGTTTTCTGTTGCCTTGAATTATGTTGAACAGTGTTGTAGCTGATGACCACCTGTATCACACCTAATTGTCATTTCTGTAATGACTTTTAAATGCCCTGTCTTGTCCATATAACCCCAAAAGGCATCAGTGTGTGCTGTTTAAAATGGATATAAATACTGGCATAATTTCTTCTGTCACGTTGATTAAGTTAAAATACATTTGTGTGCTCCAAGTATAGGGGCAATGCACAATTCCTGTGTTGGACAGTTAATAGTTGAGATCAGTGTCATGAAGTATTAAGTAAAGTCTGCAAGGTCTGAACCTAATTTTAGACCTGAATATAATAAACAGTACTGGAAGAGAAATAAAAAGATAATGAGTGGCAGATGAGTAAGAAAAGAACAGAAGAAGCAATACTAAAATAAATTGAAGTGCCACAAAGGATTTCATGAGGGTGAAATGAAAACTAGACACCTGCATAGTTTGAGTCTGACCCTCAGAACTGCTTCTCCGAAGGGATCTCCCACTGAAAATCTTAAAATACCAAGCGAAAAAAGTGACACACAGCTTAGGTTCTAAAATAGCACTATCGTTTGTAGCTGGACTGCATGTGAGGAAGATGCTTTACTGGTAGAAAGTAGGAACTGTGCTGAAGGTAACAACACAAATACACTGGTTCAACACAACAGCATTGACAGTTAACGTGCTGTCAGCTGTAGCATTACCATCTGTTTGAAATACACAGGTATCTCACATCTGTTGTAGCATTGTTTCAGCTTCTTAAAAATCAGAAGGTTACATTTAAATTATTCATATTTCAGGTACACTTTTGGTAGGTAAGACTGCAGTAATCTTAAGATAGCTTCAATCTGTTTGGCTAAAAAATAGTGAAGCTTCACTGCTCCAGGCCTTGACATGAGCCATCTAAGTCTGCACAGTACTTGAAGACCTGCATGGAAATCTGTACTTTTGTGGCTTAACTGCTGTTAGTTATCTGGTTATTAAGTAGCTCAAGTTATGTTCATACATGTATCATCTACATTTCTGGCTTCCAGTGTTGGCAGAGTAGTCTGTTTAAAACCCAAAAATACCTTTAAGATAAAATCAAATCTATTATATTCATTTGAAGTGAGCTGGGGAGGATTTTTTTGGTTCAGAGTTGTCTTTTTGTAACACTATGTGTAACCTCCTTTCCCAGATCTGTTGGAGAACCCTAGAGCCTTAAACCTGAAAGCCTGTATGGATGTCTTGGGAGGTTCTGGAACTCTTTTAGAGCTGATAATGTAGGTGTCTTAGAAAACCAAAAGAATAGGACTAGTCAGAGACCTAACGTAGGATGCTGGGAACTCAAGTACAGTTTCTTGCTGTAACAAGTACCTTCAGTATAAATTTCAATGAGTAACGCTGACTTTGTCTACACAACAGAGTTTTGGACCTTTAAAGAAATCAGCAGTGTTAAAAACCGGTAATACTGCTCATATGGATCCATTTCTTTTAAAACTCTTTACTGTAACTACAAAAAAATCACATCCTTTTGCATCATATGAACACCAGTATACATTTTTTAACATGGCCCACTGTTGCATTTAAGGTGATGAATTAATTTGATAAGAGATGAATCCCCTTACGTTCTAGCTGGTCCTCAGAGATTAGAGGGGCTAGGGGCGGCTAGATTTATCTCTTAGTAGATGCGTCAGTTGGCGCCGTAACTACAGGACTGACCTGGATGCACAAACAGCCCATGTGGTGTGGGTCTGGTTGCATTCAAGAGAAAACGTCAGATTCACGAATAGTATGGTTTATTTTTGTGCAACATTTAGAGATTCTTTAAGATTGCCTACGATAAATGCACAGACTGCAGGTTGGCTATATAGCACTACAAAAGAAAAATTTTTGCAATCACACACACGCTTAGTTCCCAAGTAAACATCAGCATAGCTGAAGGAAATCTTACCAAAAGGTGTCCCTTCTGAGGAGGTGTAGGAGCCTCCTGTAGGGGCCTTCTGTCTGTGCAAGAGCACAAACCTGTTGATCTGTCCCTCTGATTTGGTGTCGGATTATCATCCCTCCAAGTTAGGTATAAACTTGGGGTAGTATTTATATTAGTATG